CACCTCTTATCTGACAAGTCTTGGGGTTTAAGCTTATGGGGCTGTCACGTGATGAACGATCGACTCGAAAACCCGAAGACTCGAGATGAACTAATCAATTCTCTTTCCGGCTCAGACTGCATAGGTTAAGCTTATGGGGCTGTCACGTGATGAACGAACGACTCGAAAAACCCGAAGACTCAAAACAGGTGAACTACTTGACTAATTCCAGTACAGAACCTATAGGATGTTGCGCATGCGCGACTGAACGAATCACTCCCCGAGACGACTCGTTCTTACCGAGTCACATTAAAGATTCGTTCAAAATTAACGAATCGTTCAAGAACGACCCAACACTACAGCTTAGGTGTGGTGGACACCTTAAAATTACACATCTATGGCTACAGTGTCTGCAATTACCACCCATTGCCTCTCACTCCAAATTAGTGAGTTTCCCTCAATGGAGCTATAAGGCCAATAACCAATTAAGAGATTGGCAAACAATGAAGTTGTATCTCCAAGCAAGCTGCGCGTATCCAAGCAGTTCCTTGTTGCGTTTCAAATTTAACTTGCAGCCGTTTATTAGCAAGTCCGCCTCCTTTGAGACATTACTGCTGCGTCTTTTCAAAGTCTATGTGGCTAAACTCTGCCAACCTGTATGACATTCTAACATTAAAAAAACAGGTAAATTAAGGTGTGTGACAAGCAGGTTGACATAATTATCGGCAAGGGAGGACGGTGCACGTTTTTGGTGTAGTGGTTGGGGGCGGCTTTTCTTGATTAACAAGCAGGAGTTATTTTTAAAACCAGGTCCTGACATGTCTGGGCTTGTGACGGTGGGGTGGGGATACCTGAGGGCCCGGTAGCTTCATGGGTGCACCAGTGCTGTCACTTGTTCAGTCTATGAGCACATCGGGGACGCTGTGGCATTGTGACTCCCCTTGGCAACTGCTTTCACAACAAATGTGTAAATAGCCTTTAAAAGAAAACAGTCATGATTCAAACACCAATTCATATTTCAAGCACATAGCTCAGGTCTACACATTACAGCAAAAAAATAAATAAATACATAAAAAATAAAACCCAAGGAATCCGGAATAAAACTTACCTATAATGTTTCATAGGTATTTTAAGAGGTTACATTTTGGCTTAATAGAACTGCATCCCACTTGGTCAGTTTCTCTTTCTCTCTCTCTCTCGCTCTCTCTGTCTCACACACACACACACACAAACCACAGGGGTCTAGCATTGCATGAGGACTGTTAGCATTATTGCCAATTGAATGGATAGGATGATGGGATAGGCAGTAAACCTCTGGTTCTCTGAAAGACTCCCAGTCATAAACAAACCAGACAACCACAACACAAGCATAGAGCCATCAAGCTTCCCGCAAACATCTTTAGCAGAGCTCATCCACCAAAAATAGAGGAAAATGATACAACCTTTAAGGAGAAGAGTGTAATTTTTAAACAGAAATCTAATTCTGAAGGGTCTAAACACTGTTACAATTTCAAAACATTGCTCTAGTTTGTTTGGGTGGACAAACATGTTAATTTCTGCATAAATCAATAGCATGTGTTTGGGGCAGATTTACTTATCAATCATCATATCAACAGGAACATAAATGCCTGTAAAAGTGTAAATGCAGATCTACAATAATACAAATGTACTATTATTATTACATTTCAATAAAACTGAATACTGAATATTTAAAAGGCTAATGGACTGAGATATTTTCATCTTATGTTCTCTGCCATCTGGTTCAAGGTTTCCCAAAAGGTAACTCTTGCTGGTCCCTCTGAAAATTTGGCTGGACACTTTTGATCTGAGAGGCATGTAGAACCTTATCCAAAACAGGGAAGCCATTAGGTTTAAACTGAAATAGGAATTGAAAAGATGGAGGGAGGTTTCCTCTTCTGTGCAACTGAGATCATGTCTGCATTAAATGTGAAACCATGAGGGCAAAAGGTGATTCAAGTTTATTCAAAAAAAGTGAAGGCTCTGCATTAAAGGAAAAACTACCTGTGAACAAGAACCAGGATCAGTGAAAGTCTTGCTTACTTTGACAAAGGTTTCAGGTGACCATTCACACAGACGTCAATGGGGACAATAACGTGAGAACAGTCACCAAAAAAGGAGAGAGCCGAGGTTCCACTTAAATAGTTTGTTATGATGTAATTTCCCCCCACAAAATTACAATTATATACTCCTACTGCACCCACTGTCCTGATGAGGTAATGGCAATACATTTTAATTAATATTTTAAATATTATGAAAAAATTTGGTAGAAAACAATTTTTCTCATTTCTCAACCCACAACTATACACAAAAAAAATCTGATCTATTTTTATGAAACACTGAAATAGTTGACCGGCGTTATAAAAAAAAACCCAAAACAAAGTTTACTGAAGTGCCAAAAACATTAAATAAAATATCATTACCATGCAAATTATTATGAATTATTATAATTTGTTTTGCATCATCTACAGTCATACACACAGACGTAAAGGGACAATCATTCAGATGAACACAGCAGCCTTACTGCATGGCCAGACCCACAAGTGTACGCTAGGTTAAAAGATAGATCCCCTCAAAAATAGAATGATGATGTCTATCATTGCACTATAATGTGTTGTTGATCCTGTCTGCACATATAGGGGGAACCGAGGACTTAATTAGAGCTTTGACAAGCCCACTCTCCAAAAGTGATGAGATTATCCGTAATTGATGTCACAGTCGATTACAGTTCGGTCCATTGCCGGTCCACTGGCAGGTCTAGCCTCGGTTCAGGCCTCAGGACATTGATGAAAAGCGTGGTTTTGCCCCGATCAAGCTGTTTCTACTGTGGGACGGCAGATTTTAGCAAACAGCCTAATGACTGTTTGAAGTTTAATAAAGCCATGACCCTATTCCAGTGCCGCAACCTTGCGGATCCCCCCAAAATTGAGTGGACCGGAGAACAATAAGGCAAAGAAAAGCTCATCATTAACTGGAGGGCCTTTTTCGACCAGCGATGTGTGGAGGCAGTTTGTGACTTCATTGTCGGAGGAGGAAAAAAAGTGCATTTATTTACATGCAAACAAAGTTGACAAGAGCTAAGAGGTTACTGAGCTGCCTGGTCCTCTCAAACACAGGGGAGTGAAAGGAGGGGGCTGGTGAACAAACAGAAAGTTTTTTTCCCCTTGTGGTGAGCGTCTGGTCCGTAAAAGAGCACGTCTAGCTCAGAGGAAACAACCAAAGGGCTTTCTGAGACACTCAGAGTCTAGTGTGACCCAATTTTGGAAACCAGTTCTGGTTATTTGGTGATGTACTTGCTGTAAGGTACATGTGAGTGAAAATTTTGTGCTCTTAAACAAGAAAAGAAATGGATAATGGGAAGGTTTTTACAGTGTAGTTGATTTGAATATCTATGTGGAGACAATTAAAAAAGTAATCTCTATTAAATTCATGAATAAATATTTAATTAAATACTTTCTCATTGGTGCCACATTTAGTTAAGAATGGGGTTGACTTCCTGTTAAATCAACCGTGTCCATAGAATATGTGCCATTTTAAAAGAGCTAAATAATAGTCCAATAAGAATCTTGCTGAACATAGCCAAAAATGTCATGTAACCTTCTTAACTTCAATGCTGAGCGAACAGGAATCGCAGCACACAACCATTTCCATTTCTTTTAAGTCATCCTTCTCTAAGATGAATTCTCCTCCACAGCGGCAGCTGTACGTATAACACTCAGTGTCTGAAACAGAAGAGATGCTTTGTAATTATAACCCAGACTGAAATTTAACCAGTAAACTGCATGAGAACAGAGCACTAACCACAATCCCAGTTCATGTCGTCGAGGGTTATATGAGCGTCCACTGGCCAGCTCTGTTTCAGTTCATTTGCTGCAGAGAGAAACATAATATAAAGATGCAGTCAAATTGATGTTTGAGTCCAGTATGAAGCAAGCAATGAAAGAATATGCTATTTTTCTATCATGAACAAACCAATATTTCCTAAAGGGCCACTTCACCCAAAAATGAAAATTAGTCTGTGTTTTACTCGCCCTCAAAGCATCCTAGGTGTATGCGACTTTCTTCTTTCAGACGAACCCAATCGGAGTTATATTAAAAATTGTCCTGGCCCCTCCAAGCCTTTCAATGGGGGTAAGCGTGTGTTGGTTGTCAACAGTTCAGAAGACTTGAAATAAAGTGCTTGCTCCGGGGAGTGAATAAAGGCCTCCTGTAGCGAATCCATGCATTTTTGTAAGATAAATATCCATATTTCAAATGTAATAAACACTTTTCTCACTTCAGCTGACTGTGGTACGCGGAAGACATGCAGACGGATGACGTAGGACGTATGCGTCATGCACGCGCCTCTGAGAAATGCAGGAGAAAAGGAAACAAAGTTTCCTTACTTTAGCAAAGGAAAACCAGTCTCCTCTTGGCTTATATCGAAATCCTCCGACATTTTTCTTTACAAATCTTCGTTTTGTGCTTCTAATTCGTGAACGGTGTTTTGTTTTGTCTCCGCGTTCGTCACTAATCACGCAACGTTGATGTCTTACGTCATCCGCCGGAACGGCTTCCGCGTATGACAGTCAGCGGAAGTGAGAAAAAAAAGTGTTTATTTTACAAAAATGCATGGATTCGCTACAGGAGGCCTTTATTCACCCCACGGAACCGTGTGAGGGATGTTTTATTATAGATGCACGCACTTTATTTCACGTCTTCTGAACCGTTGACAACCAACATCTGCTTACCCCCATTGAAAGGCTTGGAGGGGCCAGGACAATTTTTAATATAACTCCGATTGGATTCATCTGAAAGAAGAAAGTCACATACACCTAGGATGCTTTGAGGGCGAGTAAAACACAGGCTAATTTTCATTTTTGGGTGAACTAACCCTTTAAGAAGTCATTTTAGCATAGCATATGGGAATGCAATACATTATGGCTAATACACCAATAATAAGAAGAAATAAATAGACCTTAGTCAAGGTAGTGCCATATTACATTTTTGACAGAAACGAAAATGAGGCTGGGAATTTTTTTTCTCAAAATCGTACTGTGCATTCAATGGATGTACTGGATCCATGTAATGGATTTCTTTTTTTAAAGGGATAGTTCACCCAAAAATGAAAATTCTGTCATTAATTACTCACCTTATGTCGTTCCAAACCCAAAAGACCATTATTCATCTCCACAACACAAATTAAGATATTTTTGATGAAATCTGAGGGCTTCCTGACCCTGCATAGACAGTAATGCAACTACCATGTTCAAGGCACAAAAAGTATTCTCGTAGCTTCATAAAATTAAGGTTGAACCACTGATGTCACATGGACTATTTTAGTGATGTCCTTACTACCTTTCTGGGCCTTGACCATGGTAGTACCCTTGCTGTCTATGGAGGGTCAGAGAGCTCTCGGAACTATGCCTTTAACACCATACCGATTCATCATCTGAAAAAAAATTTAAAAAAACATTTAAAAAAAAACAAAACCTTTCAGTGGACAAAAACTCCATAAAACAATTTGAAAGTTGTGTGTTGTGAAAATTACATGATCTAGGACCTTTAATACAATATATTAAATTGAGATGGGTCACGATTTTCGAACAGTCAATTAGTTGATTTAATTATAGAATATCGAATAGGTTGTGCGATTATTGTCTTAAAATGTCCCCATGTTTTCCGTGCTGATACGGTGGTGACGCGTTCATGTAAGCAGAGGGTGGCGCTAAAAAGCTGTCTCAGACAACAGAACAACACATTGTCTCACGCACACAACGTAGACTTGCGTAGCATATAACGGTTACAGTAACTTGGGACGATGTCAAATACGAGCTCTGTGCGCACCACAAACACCCCCGATTGGGTTAGAGGTGTGGCTAAATCCGTATTCAGAAAGGCGCGGAAAACAAATAACGCGTTCTACGGAGCCACTAAAGGGTCATGGTTAGCCGCTTGCTAGCGGTAGTCTGGTACATTACAGTACATAACATTTCACTTACCACATAAACACACAACACAATTTTGATTTTGATTTCAATGCCCCGCATATTAATAATGGCTCCCTGATGCCTGCAGTTTATATACAGTATAATTACCCAACGATATAATTGCGACAGAAGATATTGAAGTATATTTTTCCTCCCATCTCGTATTTATTCCCTTCAGGGATTAAATTTTTTGGAAATGAAATGTCCTAGCCTTATGAGCAGTTGATTTATGCTAATCGACGGACTGTTATGTTAATAAGTTCCGTCATTCGGTTATGTTTATTATATTAATGTGTTTCAGCACGTTACAATCATTATGGCTTGAGTTAAGGTAGCCTATCTTTTAAATTAAATCGTTTATCATACAGATTGAAAGCGTGAATCCCGTCCCTCTCCCTGTTCATGGGTGTTTGTGCGTGCATGTGGGGGAGGGGTGCGATTTTCGAATAATAATCGAATAATACCCAGTGATTTTCGAATATTATTTTTGCTTGGAATGCCCGTCACTAATATTAAATTCAATATGGCATCTAACCTGACTAGGGTCTACATTTCAATGTACTACAAAAGCTACATTTCATTTACCACTTTGAATTTTTGTCAAAAAAGGCCACACTCGGAAACTTTGAGCTCCTGCAGGAAAGAAAAAGTGTCGGGAAGATTTAAAGCATCTGTAAAAAGTTTCCAGAGCAATCCTTGCTCGTTGAAATATTTAAGCAATAATCACAGAGGACAGGTGGGCCGCTGTTCCACTTATAAGAGATTTAGAAAAAGGGAAGCTGCAAAGTCATCTGAGGTCATTTAGAGTGTCTTCGCAAAGCCTTCATGTCTCCTACTGCTGCTATGAATACACACAAATGAGTTGTCTTAAAATATTCATTGAATATTCAAGCAGGGAATGCTGGGCATCTCAAAAGGCACTGCTTTAAAGGCAGCTAATAAGTGAATTTAAAACTAAACCTGTGTGTGAAAAAGTGCAATATGACAATTAATTGTCAAGAGGCCGAGAATGAAATTAGATCACATCGCTTCATAATGAATTGAGGAATCGCGACACATCCACGTAACGGTTCTTGTCCCTTTCTGGCAGCCTGTCTGAGATACTGGCAATTAACAGGTTTGAGTGCAGCGTTTTATCATGCTTTCTTTTAATTAGTTTAAAGGAATGTCCTAAGTAGGTGCCACTTCAGTTCTTGCAACCAATTTCCATCATTCATTCCCTACAGGTACATAAAATAACTTGATGAGACAAAGAAATGAGCTCCGTTGTTGAAATGAGTAGTCTGATATGTCTCCATTTACCTCAAAAATATCTCATTCTGATATAAAATGAAGCAAAAATTTTATTTAAAACGGTAAGTAGGAACTGAAAGGAAGACTTCAGTTATGCAACCCAACAACTCAATTAATTACCTCACACTATTCAGAGTACCCTAGAATAACCTCCAGTAACAAATGCATGACTATCCCTTGATGCATTTCTGCTCAGTCATTAAATCAGAGATGCATAAACTGATTAGAGGCATAAAGACTTCTCCTATGACAGTACACAAGTAAAATGCTAACTTCTTCTCATATCTCATGAATAAGACTCATGAATATTAATGACTGAATACATTTCTGATAAGAAGGGTGCATGAATATTTATAAATACTATATATTTTGTAACTGCGAAAGATTAAGCCAATCAGACGTGGCCTTTTAAATAGAGGCCAAATTGTTTGACAGCAAACCATGTCTGGTCAATACTGACGTCTAGTGAATGACTGCAGGGCAAGCTACTTAAGTTAGATGGGGATTAGTATATCCTTTGAGCTGGCCAGAATCAATTCCAAATGTAATTAAAGCAGACCATATAGACTTGAGTAGAGAGCCAAGATTATTTTTAATATCCCCTTAGACTAAAATATCAACAATAGGGTTTATGTTAAATGATCTGCGCAGACTCTTTTCTTCTAAGGATGCACCGATATTATGTATCAAAAATTACTGTCATGTTATAAGTGAAAACCAATTAATAGTCACTGTTAAAATTCTATACTATAATGCCTGATAAAATAAAAAAATTAAATCAGCAAAAAAATTAAATACAATGGTGCATTTAGGCATCATAACATTATACTGCAATATTCATTTAGGCATTTTCATTATTTTTTTTTTAGATTTATTTTTGGTGTTTTGCAGACAGAAAGCGAAGTGGGAAAGAGAGAGAGGGGGTGGTATCAGGAAATGTCCTTGAGCCGGATTCGAACTCGGGACGCCCGTAACGCAACGCTGTTATATGTCAGCGCATTTGCCCACTAGGCTATCGTCTGTTATTCTGTTTTAACTTTAAATGAGCATTAAAAGGCAAACCTTTATTTAACACTTGCATATGAAGTCAAAACAAAGCATGTCTGATGTGGGAAATAAAGTCACTGCATCTAATTGAAGAGGTCAACTCCATCACTCCTGCATGTGCAGCCCAGACGAGGCCTGGCTTTTCTGTGGATGCTCTCTAAATGTCAATTCATTGGCTATGACGATCTATGTTAGCAAGTAGCTGCGCAAAGTGTTCCCCCCCAAAGGCGATGCCACAGCTCCCCAGTTAATGGCGCACAGGACCCTGGATGTACACTTATTGAAGGTCCTAATGGAGGGCTAGGGGGAACTTTTTCCTTAGGCGAGAGAGGAGAGAAGCAGACTATCACTTCATGTAAGAATTGGCCATGTGTGACAGACCTGACCTACATTCTCTCTCGCTATCTCTCTTTATTTCCCTCCTCCTTACTACCCACAATTCTCGCTATCCTCTTCTGTAAGGAAGCATCTGTCCAGACCAAAGACAACAGCTCTGTTTTCATTCCTTCCTTTGGCGTTTTAAATATTTTAGACAATTTTAGTTGTCTGTCCCAAAGGGCTAGTGACAAATCTTGTTTATGCTTTTAATAGTTTTATCAACATTGACGAACAGAAATGAATGATACATTTTTACATTATTACCTAGAGTAAATGCTTTGCTGTGCATTCGCAAAATTCAGTAAAGTAAAGCCTGTTATATCTAAACATAATTCTTCAAAAATTGTCTAGTACTCTTTCAAAAGTGGATGAAATCAAAATTGCTAAAGTATTCTGGGAGGTTGCTATGAGATTAATTAGCAATTCCATTTGCCCATTTTTATTTATTTTTTTATTGTTGCCCATTTTATTATTCAACAGTCAAAAAAAAAAACCGCAAGCGTGGTCGCTTAGCAAAAGCATTTACTGAGCCTTTATGAAATTCAATAAAACAGCCCATCTAAACAACTAATTCCTCCAAATCTCTTCAGTCTAGTATGGTTTAAATACTTGAGAGCCCATGAGAGGACAGACAGGTGGGAACATACCCCGCAGCTGAAGGTTGTACTCCTTCCTGCTCTCCTCATTACTCAAGATCTTCCAAGCTTGGTCAACGTCAATGAATCTCTGCAGGTGCTGCTCCGCTTCACCTTCTGATACGTCTGGCCTCTGCTTGTCCGGGTGAAACTACCAATCAAAATTGAGCAACGAGACTGATGACAATCATGCTTTACTGAAACTATTACACATGGACATTTATGTTTAATTAAATCACAACTGAAACTGACAATATGACTGGAGATACAAAAGATAGACTAGAAGAATGTAAACAAAACGACAGTTGACGGAAGTTTATGGGCAATTTGCTGATGGACTAGCCTTGCAATTTTTGGACAATTTACCAGTGAAGGCAGAGCATGGACACTAATACGGACAATGGTGCAAAAAAAAAGGCAAAATATATATCAGTTAGGACAGATGTGTCTTCTCAATGACGAGGCTAGACAGAGTGGATAGTTAGAAGGGCAAAGGGTGCCTCCTTCCTCCAGCCAAAAACACTAATGCGATCTCCACTTCGCATCCTAAAAGCCGCGGGGCTCTTCATTCGCCCACTGGAGAAGAGCAAAGTTGAGAGGGGCAAACGGAAAACAACTTAGATCCTTTCGAGCAGGCATTCAACCAAACTCTGATTATGCTCTGGCACAGGCGAGCAGAGCATTGCATGTGTGTGTGTTTGTGTTTTTGTATGGGCGATCTCCACTTTGCATCCTAAAATATGACAGTTCGTACTGTAACATCACAGCTTCACTAAAAGAAAATTTATTTATTTTTTTACCCAGAAGTCTAATGCAGCCCCCCTTAAGAGAGCTTTAGGGGTTATTTTGACAGTCCCTTCCAGCCTGGATGGATTCTTACAGTATAGAGTTATTCTTCTCCTTGAGGAATCTACAGAGCGCAGGCTGTGGCTATCGATTAGTGGGGGTCGAAGGTCAGCCGACTCATTCGCCCACTGGAGAAGAGCAAGGTTGAAAGGGGTAAACGGAAAACAACTTAGATCCTTTCGAGGAGGCATTCAACCAAATTCTGATAATGCTCTGGCACAGGCGAGCAGAGAATTGCATGTGTGTGTTTGTGTTTTTGTTTGGTCGCTATAGTTCAGAAGCTGCACCGCCGCCAAAGTCGGGTAATGATGCATGGGGTGACACTGGGATACAATAACCGACAATCCGGGGCAAGCCAATTACTGTCCACAGCGATTATATTTTTAATTTTAAGTAACAGGAAGACTGAATTCAACTAATCATTTCAAACAATTACCTTTAAAACTAATTAAAATTTAAGGGCGCTTGTTCTCTGTTGTTTCCCGTTCATCCCCCCCTTCTCTGTTTGTGTTTTTGTTTTCACTTTGTTAATGGGCGGTCAGAATGCAATGAGAAAAGCAAATGCAGCAACAAGCCAAAAATTAACTTCCTGATTGAGAGAATCATTAACCGTTTCTTGGCGTTATCACAGTGCGGGTGAAAGAGGGCAAGCGCTCAGCCGCCTCGAATATGAAAAAGAGGGGCTGATGAGCTTTAACTGAAAGAACCTTAAATATATTGACGTAAATCATTCATTGGTGCCATCCAAAAGATGGAAGGCTTTTGGGAGCGAGTTCACTCCAGGATTAGCGCTTTCACATGCCGCTATTACGGAGGATTTCAAGTTGGTAAAATGCAAGAAAGCATCCTTTTTCACTCAAATCTTAGTTTAATTAAAAGTACCAGAGTAAAAAAGACATTAAGATTAGGAACTGCACAGGATACCAGCTAAGAGGATTAAATCGATTTGTGTTTAGGACGCTTCAGATCAGAGGATCAGAGAATGACCAAAGCTAAATAGCTAAAGTGAAGACCTGAGCTGTAAGTGAAACTTTAAATCAGCATGTGCAAAAATTTCAAATGAAACCAAACCCTTATGTATCCTTAGATATCAGAAATGCTGTTTTTATTTCTGTGGTAAATCTGAAACACCACCCATCCTAAAGTCCACTTCTATTCTCAGCCAGACCAGAAACAGAAAAACAGCTCTGTTCCTGAACCCTGAGAATGGTCGCACAAGCTTGGCAGCACAATTTCTCAGTTACCTCCAGCAGGACGCCAGATTCTGCCAGAGACTTAGACTCTCTCCCCAGTAGCGGAATTGGAGATAGGGTTTTGCTTTCCTCTGCTCTTTGTAGGTGAGCTTGAGGAGTCAGGACCACAGGTGTGAAGTGCAGCTTAGCCCCGGCAAACACATACCGCTGCTTCACAAACATCTCCCTGGGTAGTCTTTTGTCAAATAGACTATCCCTGTTTCAGGTCTGTCGTAACTGAGCGTTTGATTTAGTGTCTGATGGAAAGATGGAGGAATGCTGGGCTGAATGTAAAAATGCCACTTTTTTTTTATAAAGAAAAATGTATGCATATTTTTAAATTGCTCAAAGACAAACTTAAAAATTGTGCAAAATGACCTATTTAATTTAGTTAAAATGTTCCTGGTTGTATTAGGCACGGTTTATTAAGGTTTCCTTTTATAAGAACATTATTTAATAAATTTGATTACATACACTACTGTTCATAAGTTTGGGGTCAGTAAGTATAATTCTCTTATGCTTTCCAAGGCTGTATTTATTTGATCAAAACAGTAATACTGTAATATTATTACAGCTTAAAATAACTCTTTTCTATTTTAATATATTTTAAATGCCATTTACTCCTGTGATGAGGACAATGAATTTTCAGCATCATTACTCCAGACTTCTGTGTCACATAATCCTTCAGAAATAATTCTAATATGCTGATTTGCTGCTCAAGAAATATTTCTCATTACTATAAATTGAAAACAGTTGTGTTAATTAATATTATTTTTCTAGATTCTATGATGAATAAATGTCAAAGTACAGCATTTAAAAAAAAAAAAAAAAAAAACCTTTATAATATTAGAAACGCCTTTACTGTCACATTTAATCAAATTAATGAATCCATGCTGAAAAAAGTATACGTTCTTTAAAAAAAAAATCTTAATGACTCCAAACTTTTGAAAAAGCTGTAATGTTAAAATATATTAAATGTTTCATGCTATACATAATTCTGTCAGAAACTGGGCAAAAATTATTTCAGTCAAAATGTCATGTTTAATTCAATGTGTTACTTTCTAATGAAAATCATTTCTACACCCAATTTTTAGTGTATATCACTAAAATTTCTGAAAACATTAGCTAGATTTGAACATTAATGCTTACTATGCTGTTTTCCAAAGTCTTCTCAGGACGCATTCTGACGTTACAAACACTAATCACACATTTCCTATGGTGTCACTCTACAACTTCCAGTCTGCGTGGCTCAGGTACTTGTCATAAATACATAACACAACGAGAGGCTGGTGCTCAGTTAGAGCGGCCCGTCCTCCTGCCCCTCTGGAGTTACACGCTTTAATTGCTGTCTCTTTGCACGCATTGTAAAATATTCATTTACTGGGGCTAATGGAGCTTGGAGAGCAGGAACACAATATAAAGGGCTGGGCAATTTGGAGCACTCGCCAGCTCTAACAATACATCATCATCTCTCAGAGGCTGCGAAGGGAGCACTGCCACATCCTCCGCTGGGCTCTAGTATGCTGCCTGCAGCCGCTCTCTGCTTCAGTGGAGAGGGAGCAGAGGAGACAGGGGGCACAAAGGCTACTACCATCACACTACTGCCACCTACTGTCAGGCTGATCTGACAGTAGACTGAATGAACGCAGGACACTGACCGACTGCAATCCGTATTACAGCAGTATGGATTGGTTTAAGCCTGAGGTTACACTGGTAATGCAAATGGTGTGGTTGATTCTGGATCCGTAAACTGACTCCTGTTCAACTGTCTAGCTATAATATGAAGAAACAGATATCATTTCTATCATGCAACACTGATTCATTTGACTTGGATCAGAAGTTTTAAAACCATCATCAATTTCATTACCAATCACTTTCCTGCTGTATATTGCGTAAGGCGCTGGTCTGGACTCTTCAAACTGCTCCTACAAATTGCACGGCACACATCCTGATTGATCGACTGGTGTTATGTGATTGCTGTAATTAAAATGGGTTTGGGATTAAACAAATCAGCTTAAGTATAACTTGACTGGGATAAGTCAACCAGCAATGTGTATTAATGAAAAATACTGATGCCATTGATTAATTGTGCATATGTTTTCAAAGCTCGTATTTAGCAAGAACAATTTGCCCTTGGAGGAAACTTTAATGGGAGAATCAAGCATAATCTTTATCTAGGTATGAATTTGATCACTATGAACTTGGTAGACATGCACTGAATAACATATTAGACAGCATTTATGGCAGTGGTTCACAGTCTTTTTGACTCCAAAGCCTACCATTTTTCGAGACGATTTTCAAACCTATAAGCATCAATATATTAAAACAAAAATACTAACAACAGCAATTAATTTTGTGATTTCAGAAGTTTCGAAAACTGTTTGTTGGTCTGCATGACTGTAATATATGGGACCAAATCTCCACATTATGGTCAGGAGTGAGTTGAAAGTAACCCACGAGGGAATTTTTTTTTTATTATGCTTTTGAAATAAGTCTCACATGCTCACCAAGGCTGCATTTACAACCCTCTACATTGCGAGTAAATCACTCGCATATGCGACTAAATCTTCACTCTGGGCGACTAAATGACGTCTAATATTAGCCAATTGCTAATAAATTCTCAGATTTTACTCGCCAGTGTGAGTTGGAGGCTAAGTATAAATTTAGCTCAGATATATTTTCACTCGCCGAACACTCTCTGATTGAGCGCATCAGAGTTTCACTCTCCGCCAAGCGATCTGTGCTGTTTTTCAGTTCAAAAACACACCTGTATTTATCGTACCGTAAAATATACATATACATACATACATACATACATACATATCAGTCTGGCGAGTAAACTAAAAAATGTACTAGCCAATGGCGATTCAATTGCCAAGGTGTTCGTAGAGGGCTGATTTACTAAATTTAAAATTGAGTAAAGCAGTGATATTGTGAAATATTATTATAATGTAACATAACTGTTTCTATTTTATTACATATTAAAATTAAATGTATTCCTGTGATGGCCAAAGCTGAATTTTCAGCAGCCATTACTCCAGTCTTCAGTGTCACATGATCCTTTAGAAATCATTGTAATATGTTGACTTGCTGCTCAATTATTAATACTGGTTCTTATTATTAATGTTTAAAACAGTTTGCTGAACACTTACCATGAGTATGAGCTTCTGATACTTCTGTTTCAGTTCTTTAATGTCATCTGTTGGACAGGCACCCAGTATTGAGTACCAGTCTTTCTGTGGGCCACTGGAATCTACCATAATCCTAAAGAATACAAACAAAAAATGCACAGGAAAGCATGAATTATGTGTTTAAAACAAGAGGTACGTGCAGGACGATTTGCTAACTATTTATTTACAACACCCCCCTGCATATATACTGCAGAATGATATCGTATAAGTAAACTGTCGTGCTTACTAACCTAATATAAAGAGTTTTCCCCCGTTTCTATGCAGCTGTCATGAGCGTTGGTCTTTCCAGTCCATGCCGCTTCCCGTGTGAGCGTTTGCCCCGCTCTTTAACGCCCTGACAGAAACACGTATGTTTTACCAATAAGCCATATTTTGTAATTAGATATATATGTAAACTACACAAATTGGGCAACAAGTCATTTGTACTTATGTTTGTACTTCAACAATGAAATGTCTATGTTCTGATATCCCACTGCTCTCGAGATGACGGAACTCCTCGAATTAAACGTTTCTACACGGAAGCTTTAGAGAGAAACACGCTGCTGTATCTGTGGAAACAGACGTGCTCAAAGCAAAGAGGCTTTTGGTTTGCAGCTTGTTCATCTCTGTATACATTTAAAGCAGACGTTTTTCGCATTTCTTTCATTTTAGTTTACAATTTAATGAATAATAATAAAAAAGGATTCCAGAATGGTTCCTAATCGCATGTTATTGGAATTATAGGTAAAATAAAATAGATTTATTGATTGCTATGTGGGATTGCAAGGGGTGGAAACATGATAGGACATGCATAAAGATTGAAATTCAGAAGAACACATACGCAGTGTATTTTTACAATTACTTAAATCCTAATGATACTTTTATTTATCAGCAGAAATCCTGATAGAAAGCATGTTTTTTGAAACAAGTATTGTTTAAATACAGAACTGAGCTAAACAAGAAAATGCAACAATCATATTACAAAGGGATGTCACAAAATAGTGAGATTTTACATTGGCAAAATTAGTCAAAACACTTCCATCTGGCAGCATATGTGTGATTGTGACAAGGGTTGCGAGAAAAGTTGGTGGATGTTTGTTAATTGTGCTGGGAATTATCTAAAATATCCTGGGTGTCACAGTCTACAGAGGGCAGAAAAAGAAAAAAAAAAATCACATGGTGCACACCTCAGCCACTGTCTCCAGCTGCTAATTAACAAAGTCTTTAATGAGCGCTGTGATAGAAGCCACATGTAACAGACAAACCAGATTGTCTGTCGATGCATGTTTACTCAATTTGGGCTTATTATGCAGCAATTAATAATTCCATGATGAAATGTACTGATTTATTTTTGTTTGACATTTCAGATGTATAAAGCACAATAACAGCTGTTTGTTTTCCTGTTTTACTGATGCGTGTAATTCGTTTGTGTAATTCCACTTTCGCCTCTGGAAAATCAAGTCAAAAAGGGCAGGAAAAGTTGTGGTATTAGAGAATCTAAAAAGTTACAGCTTCATTACAGAACACTTATCATGAACTTATGCTAATAATGTGATTCCCTTTCTAAAAATATAAAGGCAGCTTTTATATACAGCATTCAAAATATGCAGCATGTCTCTTAGAAAACCCTTTAACGGAATTATAAAGACACTTTATATGTCATACATTGTCTGTTGTAGAGTCTTTAATACTATTCGACTGCTGTTGTTATTTACAGACTCTGTAGGTGTTAACAAGAAAAGCTTTTGACTGGCGTACAACAGCACTCAAATATTACTTTAATTACTGGAACTGAAAAGTAAACAAAACAAACAGAACAAACTTTACCATGCCATTGTGCAACACTTCTAACATATAATTATTTGTGCTAATTACTGATTTAAAAGTTGGGAGGAATTAAACAAAGTAATTAGCAAATAGCATTCTGATTAGTTCGAGCCTTGTTCTTGTGTATGCGTGTGATGCATAAATCCTTGAAGCACCTGATGATCAAACGAGAATAAGGAAAAAATAAGGAAGTGCTTTATGAACTCTGTAGAAAAACTATGCTAACAGATACACTATTAAAAATAAAGGTTCCAAAAGGTGCTTTTCTAGCAATGGCATATAAAAGAACCACTTTGGGTGCACCAAAGAACCTTTCATTGAACAGTTCCTAAAATAATTTTTCTTATTGTGAAGAACAAATGAATAATCTGTAATAACTTTGGTCCATTTTAAAGAACCTTTTGTGCAATGAAAAAGTTCTCTGGATGTTAAAGCTTCTTCATGTAACCATAGATGGGGTTTTACAGCGATGCCATAGAAGAACTTTGGCTCCCCAAAGAAAGAGACATTTATTTCTTAGTGTGAAGAACAGTAAGAAAACAGAATAATCTAAAGAACCTTTTGTGGAATGGAAAGATTCTATGGATGTTAAAAGGGGTCATGAACTGAGAAACCAAAATTCCCTTGATCTTTTGACGTATAAGAGGTCATTGTAACATCCTGTAAGTTTCAGATCTCAAAACTTTGTCGTTACTGTAAAAACTGCTTATATTAAAGGCAGTCTGCCAAAACAACAGTTTTTGGAATGTTCTACTCTGTGATGTAATAGTGTGGTTAAGCACCGCCTCTACAGAAGAAGATCAATGCTTGCTTCTACAGCACTGCCTGTTTTGCTCCACCCACCAATTCGCTCATGTAATGTTTACAAGAGAGGCAAACGCGCAGGTCTACGCTGAAACCTAATGATAAAGATGGCTCTGAAGACAACAAGATGCTGTACAGTGCCACGTTGTGGAAAAACAGTGTTTGCATTGCCTTCCTTCTGATCCCAATGTTAAGAGTGGATGAACTTTATTTTTAATGAAGATCCAGACTGCGTCAGTAAGAACTCAGTCCTTTGTTCACTTCATTTTACAGTGGATTCGTTTACAAACAAGGCACAATTCGACACAGGATTTTCAGAAAGATTGAAACTAAACGGTGCTGTGCCAACTATATTGAATCCGACAATAATGTCACAACACAAGTATGAGTAACTGTTTTCATTTCATATTGCTTTGTCTCTTCTTACAGAATGTTTGATATGTATTGAATTATTTATGCATTTTTGACCTAAACCACAGCAGCGTCCATCTATGAGGAATGTACACTATCAAACATACACAACTGTCACGGTGCGTGCGGGGAGATGAAGCGAGGACTCAAGTGCAGGAGAAATGGTTATTTATTTTGATAATAAAAATGAAACAAAAATAAACTCAAACCACCCCGAAGGGGAAAAACAGACAGGCAGGCCTAAAGCTGCACCACATGCAGACACGAAACACACACAATGAGAAATGACGGATCAGCACAGGATGACAGACACCAGGAGAATAAATAGGAACCAAACGAGGAGGCTAACGAGGGAGACACAGGTGGAGCAACTTAAACTATAACGAGGTAACAAGATGGGAGGGGCAAGACAATAGACAGGAGAGAGCACATGGCGACAGACAAACACAACACAAGCCATGTGCTCCCAGAACACAGTCATCTGGTGGCCCTCCTGGGCACACCCGCTGCAGACTGCGACACACAACTACTTTATTAGCCAATCACAGCAGTGGGCATTTACTTCCGAGTCTACAATCCGTATTCAAACAGAGCGTTCTGATGAGGGGGGTTAAAAACAGGACAGAAAATAGCTTATTACTTCTAAATTATGTTTTTTGATGTAAAAAAAAAAACTTGATAACGTTATAAGTGGGCCTCAGAGAACAGTACAAAATAAAAACAAAGGCAGTTCAAGGCCCCTTTAAAGATTCTTCATGGAACCATCAATGCAAATAAGAAGTCTTTAGTTTTAAGGATGTTTGCTTCTTGAATGGACATGGTGAAGACATCTAGAAGTCTGTGGTTGAAACTGTTGATGCAAGCTCAGTTGCGAATGGTTCATATTTTGTGAAGAAAAATGAAATTTCATGAAAGACAAATAATTTTATCCAGTTGATATAACGGATGTGGAAGCCAGAGATTATGAGTGATCAGTTTGTTCATTGACCCAGAGTTTAATTTCACCCTGAAATTTGGCTGTAGGAAACTGGCTGTTCCTGCTGTGTCCATAACTCCAGAGATTCATTTTTAAAACTGTGGGCCAAAGAAGCTGTAGGTTACCTCCAAATGTTATAAAATGTTCAAAATAAAGAACATTTTGGCTATTGTGAAAAGGTGACAAAGCATTTTGGGTTCCTTAAAGAACCTTCTTAAAAGAACCACTGTTTCCTTAGTGTAAAAAAACATTTTAACAATCTAAAGAACATTTTTCCACTATAAATAACCTTTTGTGCAATAAAAAGAAAGTTGCATTTGTTGCAAGACGAAATGAGGTTGTGTCTCTACTTGTTGTATTGCATTCCTTCTGTCCATTTTGGCCATGCATGATTGGGACTAAACAGGAAGTAGTCTTCAGGTGTGGTTCAATGTAACCCTCACCCCCGCCCTGCACACTCAAACATATTCATCTTCACCAGAGAGTGTGTGGGTAGCTGGAGTCTCGCAATGCCAAGGCCCTAATTAAATGAGATGAAGGTCAATCTTTTGTTTGTAATAGCAGGTTGAAAATGGAGCTAACACTATTGATCCAGTTGAAGTCAAGCAATCTTAATTAAAGTTAAGGATACACTGCAATATATTGAAGCTTCTATCACTCCCATAGTGTCATTTTTATAAAAATGTTGACCAGTTGGATGTTCAAACCAGGCTTATTATCATTAATGAATCCCTAAATAGTAGGGAAAAAAGAGCTCTGGCTCTTTGCTGGACCCTAAAAAAAAAAAAAAAAAATTTTCGTTACTTGAAATAAATTGAACATTAACTGAAATAAAACTTAGAAAACTTATTTTATATAATAACTTATTTTATTTCAGCTAGTTGCCAATTTAACGGTTTTCTATTTTGTTTTGTTTAAGTTGAAGTACTAAAATAACTAAAACTAAAATAACTGTTAAACTAAAAATGACACAAAATACACACACACACACACACACACACACACACACACACTCATTAAAGCTTTAACCAAAATTAAAATGAAAACAGAACACATAAAAATAAAATATAATTCACAATATTTACAAAAATCCATAATGTTATATCATTGATACTAAAACAACACTGGTTCAAATCAATTTATGATTGCTGGTATATAAAATATTTCATAGATTTATAATTATATAAAATATTTACATACAGCCTACATCCTCATCTGCATACTGTATCTCATAAAACTATGATTATCAGCAGTATTTACAATTATTTACAATTCATAAGATAACCATGGGTGTTTTTTACAGGGATTTTCTTTTTAATGATTTTTATTAAACCTACTTTATTAAAGCTTATATAATTGTTTTTTTTGTATTATATTACAGTCACATTAAAACTTGCAAACCTTTGAACACGTCATTTGCTTTTGTTACTTTTTTAATTACTTTTTCAAATTAATATTTAAACATTTTATATTTTTACTCTGGTACCAATTTTAAAATAAGATATTTATAATATTTTATTATATATTTTTATTGTATTTATAACTATAATA